GGAGGGACAGTTGGGCGAGGGACCCCCTGGTGTGGCCTTGGGGTATTCTAGCGAGGGAAGGTAGGATCTTTTGCGAATCTGGAATACCAAATGTGGCATCTAAAAGCCTATCTGGCATAACGAATAAAGGAAAATGACGGCATATAGGGGCAAGCATCTCGAAGCCATCCGACATACCGGATGCTGATCCGAATGATAGCAAAATAATTTTGTAAATCATTTGGAAAACAAGGGAATGACAGAATGCAAAGCAGAGCCTTGGAAAAGGAACAGAGAACTAGTCTGGTTGATCGATTGAAGATCTAGCATGCTGGATGTAGCCGTTAGAAAGCCAACGGATACACCTAACAGCCTATCCAATGTGCTGATTTTTATGCCGAATGTTGTTGGGAATGCTAAAAATATGACTGTTGGGACTTTTTTTATGCTCCAAATATAAATAGATGTGGAAGGACTTCAAGGTGGGGTTACTTAGCATTATAGAGTCAAACCAAACTCTGAGAAAGCCATTTTACATTGAGTTTGAAAGCTATATTGTGAGAAAACCTATTCCCCCTATTTTGTACACATAAAGTGATATTTGTACTGTGAATACATCTTGAAAAAGAGAGTGAGCAATGTAGCTCTTGTGAGTGTGTTGTAGAGAGAGATTCTACTTATATCAAGAAGAACGAAGTTTGTAAGGGTTTTGATTCTCACCCATTGAAGAGATTCAAAGTAGTGAAGCAAAACTCCAAAGGGAGGAAGAAGAGAGGACATAGGTTAATGTGTTGGTGGACGAATCTCTATAAATTTTGCGTTTTCTTTTCTCTATCTCTTACTCTCATACATATTAATTGTTCATATTCACAGTCATTGCACATCAAATATTCACTCACACACATCTAAGCAAAGCAATTTCACACATAGTGGAATTGATTTTTTTAGGTAGCTATTAATTAAGAAAATCTAATTCGGCCCCCTTAGGTTACACTTAGGCCAACAATGTTGACCTAGTTGGCAACCAATTCATGAAATACACTTGTGTAGAGGTTGAAGTCTTTTTTATAATGCCATAACAATCAACTCAATCGAACATCAGGATAATAAGTTATGACCAAATACTAAGATAGTGTCAAATTTTTACCTACCCGAATCCTCTCCAAAATGCATTCAAGGCCAGAACACAAGTCAAATGTCTATCCTAAGGTTTTACGACCTCACAAATTCACTAGTAATGTTATTTTGGCCTAAAAACTTTTAGAAACTTACATACCTACCCTTCTCAAGTTTCAATGCCTCTAAAACTAAATTTGATCTGAAAATCAGTAGGTAAGGAACTCAAATTTTACAGTTATTCTTTCAATAGCGATTCAAACTTTCTACTACCATTTTAGTTATTTTAGAAGAAATCTTGAAATAATATTATTAATATTTAATTATAATACAAGGCCTTACACATATCCATCCTTAATTCTAAAACGATTCATATAATTTTTCATTTTGAAGATAAAAACTTTGAGAAACATCAAATGTTTATTCACATAATACTAATTGAATGAGCTTGTCTTATCAAAATGAAATCGCTTAAATTTGGCATAAAACCAACTTATATAATATATATTGAACGGCCGCAGAACAACCGAACATGATTAGACCATTTAATAAATACATGTGGCCCAAAAAAGGATGGGTCAAAGGATAGTAACGAAAAGAGACCTTAATAGGCATAGTGTCTCTATCCAAGCAACGACCTGACAAACTGAGTTATATGCCGACCAGTCTAACAAGTTTAGAACCTAGCCGAACAAATGGCGAAGTTGTTCAGTCAGCAAGGGAACTGAGCAATGACTCATATCGAGCAAGGATGAGAGAGAGGGATCATTAGACATCTCGCCAAGAACTGGACCAAGCCAGAGATAACTAGGCTATCTCGAGAGATGAGAGGCAATGCAAAACTGATGAGGAAGTTACCTAAGTAATAAGTGGACATTAGAAACGCGACCTAAATAATAGACAAGCCAGAAAGGAAGCCTAAAGAGGCTCCAACACAAATACAAGGTAAAGCTTATTCAACCAATAATTAAACCCTAGAAGAAGGGAACAAACCACTATAAATACAAGGTAAAGCTTAAGTCTAAGGTATGCACTACTTTTCCTACAAATTTGTTTGGTTATTCCTAAAGTCGTTGCTGACTTAACTATCAAAGTGCATCCGACCAATCCACCTCCAATTCCTGATAGTTTATTCATTTTGTAAAAGGAAGCTGTCATTTGTTCGTTTCTCTCAAGAAAACTCTATTTTCAGATTCTATGTCACTATAAATCAGAAGTACGAGATTTTTCCCTCGTACATATATATTAATGAATTGTGTTTTCTTCAAATGTATATTAGTAACAACCTTAATTTACTCACTTATCAGTCATACCGTAATGTCGAAAATAGTCACCACTAAAAAGCATGGCATACAGGAACAAAGTTAACTTTTGAAATTTTGATGGCACCCACTTCAATAATGAATTCTTCCGGGGGAACGTTATCTTTTGGCACCATTCTAACTTTTATATAGTTAAAGTAAAATTAGAACATTCGTTGTGTATTTATAAATAACCCATTCGATATAACAAATTTTATTTGAATTTATGATAAGTGATTTGGACAGCCTGACCGTAAATAAAATAATGAATCCTGAATATGTGACCTACACTCAAATGAAACTGAAGGAAAAAAATAGTAGAGGGGATTTAGATCCTTGATCAATGGATATTTATATATGAATTCCACCAGATACCACGCCTTTTCTTGGGTCTCGGTGAAAACTATAAAAAACCCATGGCGATGGATGATTCAAGGGTGGATTATTTTTTTTCTTATCAAAGCAATGGATAATTAAGTTTACCTAAATTTCATAAAAATGATTTTTTTTGTTTTGGAAAAAATTATATTTAAGACCCCTAAATTCACATTGGTGCCTAAACTATCTATTTCTCACATTGCATGTTAAACAACTAGTCTGAGTTTCACATTACTCCAATTAATTTGTGACAAATGAGCGCAAATATTGAATTCTTCCTAAATAAGGATGGGAAGATCGCATCCCCTAATGTTGTTATGGGATCCCATTTTGGCCCCTGGTTTGCTATGAAAAAATCGGCAATGTTAACAATTGGGATAATGTGAAATTCAAAATAATAGTTTAAGGTGTAATTTTAAAAAGTGAATAGTTTATGGGTAATGTGAAACGAGGGACATAGTCCAAAGTGATGTCCAGGTGTAATTTACTTTCCAAAGTGATGTCCAGGTGTAATTTACTTTTTTTTTGGACAGGCAGAAAATGAAATTGAAAAGATTTGAATACCACATTACTCTCTCCCTCTCTCTCTCTCTCTGCCAATCTCAATTGAATTGTTTTTCTGTCTTCTCAGTTTCTTACTGATCAAATCCAGAGAGAGAGAGAGAGGAGAGGGTGGGCCGG